GGTACTAAAGACTAACATCAAAACTTATAACAACCATTCTAATATAAAGATGACATTAGAAAATGAAATCAATGCATACATATATCTTTCCTAGAAATGAGATTTCTTCAATAGCAAATCAAGAAAGTAAAATAAAAATGCGACTTGTGCATAAAACTTGAGCAAAGCTAGTGATGGAGGCTGTTAATGCTAACCTTAATGGTGAAGGGTTGAATTGCAATCTTGCATTAGCTTTTAAATATCTCACCTTCCATGACATGGATAGTCATATTTATATTAAGGAAGATGACCAAATCTGAGCTTGACAAAGAAGTAGTAAACAGAGAACAGGCTCTCAAATCCAAAGAGTTCTACAACTTAGTTTCAGCAATTTCAACTTCATTTTGAAATATAATCATACCAAGAAGATATACATGGTAAATGGTATACTGCTAGAGTAGAAAGAAAGAATTGAGATAGCATGGAGTATTTTATGAATAAATATTGCAACATACTATTGGAATTTCATGAAATAGAGACATAAGTTTCAATTGTTCTTTTGTTTAATATTGGGGAAAGAAACAACCTAAATGATTCTCACTAGAGTTCGAGAGTAACAATTTGCACAATCTTTTTTTCAAGAACCTAGAAAAAATTTAAGTGTGTTTTGGGAAATAATATAAGTTCATCAACATTAATAATTAGATGAACTTTAAAATTAATGCCTCAGTTATAGTTCATATATAAAAGCTAGTTCATACAATTCTTCTCCTAAATACACACAAAGCATGAATCATTGCCCAACCCAAAAGCTTGTTAATCCTCTATTTTTTCTATAGAGTTAGTATAAACGCAATATGCAAAAACAGAGATAGAGGTTAGAGGCTTACCATAATCAGTAGCTCCATGCTAGAGAAGAATAAATATGGAGGAATTGTTGGAATGCTGCAAGTGAGAAAAAGGGGCATAGATCTAAGTTTTGTACTTATTAAAGAAATAGAAAAGAAAATATATATCTAAGACTTACCAAAGAATTGACGTAAAACTCGATGGAGTGATGATGACTATGGCAGTGACCGATGAGACGAAGAGAAATGGGAGGTGATCATTGATCGTGATGAGAGGCAATGAGAAAGGGGTGTGAAAGAGATTTTGTTTTAAGTCTTGGAAGAAAATTTTATCCAATCCCACCATAACCCATGGGGTAGGTGGGTTAATTTTTATCGCTTGAGGTTAGAATTGGGCAAAACGTAGGACATGTTTTATCATATCCATTAACACCATCAAACATGGGTTATTATTGGATCAGACTAATTTTTGTCCCATTCTGTGAATAGTCTAGGAGACCAAATGAGTGATTAGTGTAATGGTTTGAAATATTCATAAAATTAATATTAAAATTTTCATTTCTCTATGTAAATTAAAAATTAAAAAATATATTAATTACACCATAAATTTGAGATTAAAGAATATTTTACTTATGAAAATAAAGTTTTTTTCATAAAAAAAGTTTTTTTTTTCCAGGCCTACCTAATTTAACTTTAGTTAATATAAAATCAGTCACTCTTTGGGCTTTCAAATGTCCATACCAAAAGGAAGAAGGGTATAGGTAAAAGGTTGAAAGCCTATATGGTTTTTGTTTTGCAGGGTGAAGCCCATTTATGACAATCGCATATCTTCTTGAAATGATGTAAGGAAGCACACAAAATTCCTTCCTGCAACTCCTGACAACAAAAATAACCTCCTCTCCTCTCCTCTTGACAAATCTTATTCGTTGTCATTCAATTCAGAGTTGATTTAACTATAGTCAATATAGAGTTAGTTACTCTTTGGGCTTTCAAATGTCCATACCCAAAGGAAGAAGGGTATGGGTAAGAAAGCCCATATGGTTTTGCTTTGCAAAGGTGAAGCCCATATATCACAACTGCATATCTTCTTGAAATGAGGTAACCAAGCACAAAAAATTCCTCTCAACAAACCCTATTTGTTCGTCATTCAATTAAGAGCTTATTTAACTTTAGTTAATATAAACTCAGTTACTCTTTGGGCTTTCAAATGTCCATACCCAAAAGAAGAAAGGTATGGGTAAAAGGTGGAAAGCCTATATGGCTTTTGTTTTGCAGGGTGAAGCCCATATATCTCAACTATATATCTTCTTAAGACGATGTAATCAAGTGCAAAAAATTCCTCTTAACAAACCCTATTCATTGTCATTCAATTCAAAGCTGATTTAACTTTAGTTAATATAAAGTCAATTACTCTTTGGGCTTTTGAATGTCCATACCCAAAGAAAGAAAGGTATGGGTTGAAAGCCCATATGTTTTTTTTTTTTTTTTGTAGGGGTGAAGCCTATATATCACAACTGCATATCTTCTTGAAATGATGTAATGAAGTGCAAAAAATTCCTTCTTGCAACTTCTGATAATGAAAACGCCATATTCTTGACAACTAAAAAACCTCTTCTTTTGAAAGGTATGGGTAAAAGTTTGAAAGCCTATATGGGTTTTGTTTTGCGGGGGTGAAGCCCATATATCCCAACTGCATATCTTCTTGAAATGATGTAATAAGCACAAAGATTCTTTCCTACAATTCTTAACAACAAAAATAGCCCCCTCTCCTCTCTTCTCCTAAATATCCATACCCAAAGAAGTAGGGTATGGGTAAAATGTAGAAAGCCCATATAGCTTTTGTTTTGTGACAGTGAAACCCGAAAATCACATCTGCATAACTTCTTAAAATGATGTAATCAAGCATAAAAAATTCCTTCCTACAACTCTTGACAAGGAAAATAATCTCCTTTCCTTTTTCTCTCCTCTCTACAAACCTTATTCTTGGTCGTTCAATTCAGATTGGCCCCTTAATAGGGTAGAACCACCATGCCCTGACTTCCATCCTCCTTTTGCGTCCATCTCAAATCCTGACCTCAACCCTAACATAAGGTTTGGATTAGGGGTGTCAAACAGAAAGGGAGGGGAAGGGATGGGGACGAATGGTAAGGGAGGGGATGTTATCTCCTTCTTTTGTTTGGATTTCTAAAGATGTAGAAGGGGAGGGAGATTGATCGAATTGGAATCCCTTCAACTACCTTTAAACCTCCCGATTTGTAATCCCCTCGATTTGGGGGGTTTGGGACGGATTTTTTGCAAGGTTTAGATTGTGTAAAAGATAATTACAAAAATAACCCTTTTATCCATTACCATAAATCATTATCTTCCTCCTTCTTGTGGCTATAAAACCAAAGGAATGAACTAGAGTCAGAAAGTAGTAAGTATACCTTAAATAGTTTTTGTTTTTTAAAACTTATTTTTGCAATATTTTTTATTAACATATATTGATTTATTTGCAGAAAAGAAAACTGTTATTAGAATTTGACAAAATGTTGTTTTCAATTTCTTTACTTGCTCATCTTATCCCCCATACTTTTATTGGTTTTTTAACATAGCTAATTTTTCATATTAGATCTTTCTATTACAGTAGCAATTTAAAGTTGAGCTTTGATATTAAACTTCATTTGTATGTTTGTACCTCTCTCTCTTTTCTTATCTCTGTGCTTACAAAAATGTATGCATCCACATAGCCATAGAAGCAAAAGTAAATACGCACATATATATGTAGGCATTTAGTTAAGAATATGTATCATTAAAGTGCATATATTTAGTTTCTTAAGAATTTATTTAGTCGATTAGTTTCGTTTCATTAATTTCCACATATCTTTGTAACCTTAAATTTACAAATTATTTCAAATTTTTTGGTATTAATTGGATGAGACGAAGAAAAGAATACTTTAAATTTAGCTTTTGTTACATGAAGAATTTCAAGATAGAGAACAAAATGTTTATTTATTTAATGTTATTATTATTTTTCTTTTGTAAAAAGGATGGATTTTATAGGCTACTTAGGTTCAACTTCTTTACATCATACTAAAAGACTTTCATTTTCAAAGTAGTTAGAAATAATCACTGTTTGGCAATTTTGATAGGTTGTGTTTAGAGGGTAGTTGTATCCAAAAAAGGGGTGCTTATTATTTTCACTTATATATAACAATGGGTGATAGATCTCTTGACTTGGTTAGTGCTAATATTCAGTTAATTTGAAAATTTTTTAGTCACTTTATATTTAGCTTGGTGATGACTTGAATTTGGTAATAATAATTAATGACTTATCCATAGATCTGCAAGGAACAAAGTTGAAAGAGACGTTTGGTTTGCTAGCCTTCAAGCATTGATCCAAGTAATTTTAATTTAAAACATTGCTAGTTTATATTTGTATATTAAAATGCCTTATATTTATATTTGTACATTACTAGTTTTTTATTATTCTATCACTTTTTAGTTATACGAATTCTTTTTTTTTTTTCTTATGAACCTTAGTTATACAAATTGAATTTAAAATATTAAGAAAATAATATATTAGCAAAAATAAGCAACTGATGATGAATATGTAATTTATAATAAAAACTGTTTAGGGTCACAATCTTTCCTCTTTGGCTTGCATTGTAACAAGGTAGTAGAAACACAATATTAATTTTAAAAGTATGGACAACTATTATTGCACAATAAGGAGAAGCTTGAAGAACATAATTGGTATATTACCACACTGATTCAATAGTGATTACTTAAAAATTAATTTAAAATTATAAAATGCAATACATACAAAATGAAGATACAAAAAAATAAAATAGTGCAACCAGATTAAACATATGATAATATATACCATCGGCATTTTTGAAAAAATCACTTAGTGAACAAAAGATCTAGTAAAATCTAGTAATATAACATACACTATGCCAATTTGCCATACTATTATAGCATTTGAAAAGTTTATATATAATAAGAGAGAGAGAAAAAAAAGAGAACCATCAATCTAAGATACATATAACACTACTAACACTGCTATAGTAATTCTAAAAAAGAACTACTTTCCTATTATGAAAAAACTCTGATCTAATATTCGTTAGTCTTCATTGTTGGTATTTATTTCTACACTTTTTTTTTTTTTTATAAATATATCATGAAATAGAATTTTAATTTGTATTTCATAAATATAGATGGATGTCATGAGATATGTGTAGGAGGGCCATTGTTCATGTAATATGCTTAGTTGTTTATTGGTGGTTTCTTCAAAGTCTACCAAAAAGAAAGTTTCTTGATGATAACATAATTAATGAGGGAGAAGGAGTTTGAGATGAGATAATGAACAAAATTGTGGGGAGTGAGAGAAGCTATTATATCATAGGAATGAGCTATAGAGTTTTTTTACAATTCTATGACATATTTGAAAGGGAGGGAGATCCCCAACCCACAAGGAAAACATATGAAAAAATTATGAATGAATTAAAAGAAAAATTGGGAAGGATATTGACAAATATAAAGTGAAAAACCATATGAAGACTTTGAAGGGAAACCTTTCAAAATATCATGACTTATTTAAAAATCTTACTGGTTTTCATGGAGCCCTGTTACCAAGTTACGAAGTGCTAAGTCGAAAATCTGGCATGCATTAATAAAGGTACACTTCTAATTTAAATTTTCTTGTTAATATTTTATTTGACTTTAAATTAATGATTTTTATTTTTATCATGTTGATGTTTTGTAAGTTAATAAGGATGTTGGAGAATGGATGACAAAACTAATTTTACACGATGACACATTTGTGATGCTATATGACAATGATCGAGTTATAGGTGAAAAGTCAAAAACTGCAAAAGAACTAAGGAAAAAGCTTAATGGGCCAAACTTGGGCTTAATGGGCCTTAAGAAATTAAAACTTTGACCATATGCCGAATGGGCTTCTTGGGCCAAATTGAGGCCCAAAAAGTGTAAAAAATTCAGCACGATCACCAGCTAAATGGGCTAAATTGATCACAAACATTCTTTTTAATTGGCCATAGGGCCCAAATTACTTGCATAATGGGCCACGATTTAGCCCAAAAATCCATATTATTGGCCGTTAGTTACTCAATTGGGCCGCTCACGGCCCAAAAGGAAACTAGTAGGCCTATTTTTCCTTTCTTATTGGGCCTTCCTCACCAAACCCATCTACTTAGTGGGCGAATGATTATATTACGACGTTTATCGTTGAGACCGGGTACCAGATTTATACCTCCTTAGACTCTTAGTGAGTCTGCTTAATGAGCCCTAGTTATTCACATTAGATTCCAATTATAACAAGTACTGTTTTTTTGGTTATTTTGACGAGTGGAATAATTTCTGAAACAAAGACCCCATAAATCATGGGGCATACCGTTCTTACGCATCTAGAATTTGACGAGTTACACAAGAAAATTAAAAGTTGCCGAATTATAAAAAAAATAAAGACTTAACACCAATAATTTAGCCTCAGTTCAAATAAAAAATGACCAACACTAGTAATTTCTTCATATATTTAAAAAATTGCATAACAGAAGTTAAGAAGAGTAGGCATCATGGAAGCAGAAAAGTAAATTAGCAAATAATCCCCAGCAAGTTTTAAAAATAGTTAAAATAAACTAAATCTATGATTCTTCCCAAGGTGCAACCAGACGAAATAATCAGATCGATCCCCAGTTTACTACAAAAATTAAATTAACTAAAAATAAGTACAACAAAAAATCCAAAAATCAATAATGGCCACTTACAAATCCAAATGAAAATAATAAATTCCAACGAAATAACCTACAATTACTAATAATGATTAAAAGCCTAAAATTACAAATTTTTTTTAGGTGCTTTTTCTGGTACATATATCCTTGGAGTCATAACAGCATCATGCAACACTCAACCTGCAGCACGAAGCACTTGTTACCATAGTTTGATTTGGGCAACAGAAAAATTAAAAGAGTAATCCTTCCAAAAAAATTTGTAAGCAAAAGTTTGAAAGAGTAAGAAGGATTAAAAATTTGAACATAATAGATTTCCTAATAGATACCCCCAAGTGTTTTCATCTCTCAGGTCCCATCGCTAGCTTCTAGTTATAGGAGGAAGATGAAAACCACGAGAAGTTGCAGATAATCAAAAATCCTAATAGGAAGATGGCGTAGGAGCCGATACCAAAACACCGATTTTGACGAGATTTAAAATTCCACTACGATGAATTCGATTGTCAGGTTCACAGCTTAGGTTGGCAAGACTTAAAATATAGAGATAAATTAATAAAATCCACTCTTAAGAAATTCACTCAACAGAAGACAATTATAAACTGAAATTTTTGGATTGAAACTCATGTACAATGGTGAGAACATAATTATTTATAGGCAAAATCTAACAAAGGCAATAAATAAAAAGTGAAAATGCAGTTGGAAGTTAGCCATCTTTGTGGAATTTAGTGGCCATTTTTGTTGACTTGTGGCCATGTTGACAAAGTTGCACCGGCCTAATGGTGCTGCAAAGTAGCTTCTGCATGCTTCTTGTTTTTTCCTGATGCATTCTCCCCTGGTTGGAGAAAACTTATCCTCAAGTTTGAGTTCAATGCTTATGATCTTCATGGTAAGGAGATAAGTTAGCAACATTAAAAGTAGCAGAGACTCCATAGTCACCTAGAAGTCTGGTCTTGTAGGCACAACCATGTTAGAATCCTTGCTTCGTTGAGTTCGCGGTAATCCATAAAGGGTCTCATCAAGAGCAACATTAGAAAATTCTTCAAGGAAAGATCGAATATCCTCTGGAAAAGGGGAAGTAGCATCATTCACTTTAGATAATAACAAGAGACAAACTGTCCTTGATTCTTGATGCAACTTCTGAAAGGTTGATCTGGAGATTAAAGCCTTGTCATCATCTTTCTTTTCACGTGTCTCTTCAGGTTTCAGGAGAGTGAGCTTGACCTTCACACCATCTTTCACAAACAAGTAGGTGTTGGCATGGCTATCATGGATATCTTTTCGATCAAATTGCCAATGGCGACCAAGTAATAAGTGACAAGTATCCATAGGAATAACATCACACCATACTTCGTCTTGGTACCTATTACCAATAGAAAAAGAGACAAGGCAACGTTTGATTGCTTTTACCTCGTTTCCCTTTCGTAACCATTGTAACTTGTATGGATGGGCAAGATCTTTGATTGGCAGTCCTAGCTTTTCAACTATATAACTAAACACAACATTCTCACAACTTTCACTGTAATGATGATATTGCAAACTTTCCCTCGAGAAGTACATCTAGTATGAAAGATGTGATGTCGGAGCCAATCTTCATCCTTGGTTATGATATCATGAGAACTTCGACGCACAACCAAAGATTCTCCATGGTCAGCTGCGATGAGTTCTTTCTCAAGTTGTGGCTCAATCTCATCACTAATCTCCTTTTCTGCTTCACTATCTAAGACTTCATGAATCTCTTCTCCGATAATGGTGATAATTCTCCTATTGAATCAGTCGAAGGCGATGTGATCAAATCCTTGACACTTAAACACTTTCGAGTGTTAGGCTGGGCTGGACGGCTTGAACTAGCTTCCTTCTCAACTTTGGTAGGTGTCTCAGCAACAATCTTTAAAGCTTGGGTCCCTTGGCTAGCTTCAAAATCTCGTGGTTTTGAAGCAAAAGTAATATTTTTCTTTGAGATTTGCTTTTCAACCTTCAATGCTAGCCGAATAACATCATCCAAAGTCCAATATTGTTGAAGTTGAACTACTTTGAAAATGTCATTGTTTAATCCTCCAAGATATCTTGCTATGGTTTGCTTTTTTTTTTTTCTCAAATATCACACTTCATCATTAATTGTTCGAATTCCATAGTATATTCTTCCACAATCAAAGATTTTTGCTGCAAATTATGAAATTTAACAAAATTATCCTGGTAGTAACGGTTAGGTAAAAACTTACGGGTGAGTTCCCGACGCATTTTCTCCCAAGTTCTAATTTTGTTGCGAACTTCTCTTTCTCGACTGCGTTTGAGATTCTCCCATCAAATGGATGCATGTTTCTTTAATTTGATGGCGACGAGCTTCACACGCTTGTCGTCAAGAATATCCTTGAGTTCAAATACACGTTCCACAGTGTGCAACCAGTCGATAAATTCATTTGATTGAAGGCGACCTTCAAAACATGGAATATCGATTTTGATGCCAAGGTCAATGGATTTGGGAGCAGCATTTTGTTGGGGACGTTGTCGACGACGAATTTTTCCTGTTGATGATGAGCTTTCATTATCCCTTAAGTGATGGAAGGGATTCTCATCATCAGTATCTTCTTCTGACTCATGTGGTTCATCTTGTGGTTGCGGGTGTTAAGCTTGTTGTCCCTCAAAAGCTTCGAGTCTTTCTTGAAACCTTTGAATTTGTTGATGTAATTCTTCCATCTCTATGTCTCGAACAGCTCGCTGACGAGGAGGATTTTGTCTTCTAGGAGGCATGATGAGTTTAAGTTGATAAAGGGCTTTTTGGAAAGCTAGTATTTGAAAGTAGGGGTAATTTGAAATTTATAAAATTATGGGGTCAATCTGTAAGGTCAAAATAAGTTGAAGGACTTGATGATGTGGTAAAAGAGTGCGACTGCGGTGATGATGTGTCACTAACGTGGTTGATGACGTGGCAATAGATGATGTGGCAATGACTGGATGATGACGTGGCTGATGACGTGTCTAATGAGAGGTTGAAGATGACCGACGTGTGATTTTCACGCGATTTGCAGTGGTGCGAGTGACCGACGCGTGAGAAAACGACGGTGGCACATGGAGGCGCGTGCTACCTTGTTCGTCGACCGATTTTCACCAGAATGCTCAGAATGACGTGCAGACTCCAAATATATTGGCTCTAATACCAAATGGCGTAAGAGCCAATACCAAAACACCGATTTTGGCAAGATTTAAAATCTCACTATGATGAATTTGATTACCATGTTCACCACTTATGTTAGCAAGACCTAAGATATAGAGATAAATTGAAATAATCCACTCTCAAGAAACTCACTCAACAGAGGAAAATTATAAACTAAAATTTTTGGATTGAAACTCATGTACAATGGTGAGAACATGGTTATTTATAGGCAAAATCTAATGAAGGTAATAAATGAAAAGTGAAAATACAGTTGAGAGTTAGCCATCTTTGTGAAATTTAGTGGCCATTTTTGTTAGTTTGTGGCCATGTTGACAAAGTTGCACCGACCTAATGGTGTTGCAGAATAGCTTCTGCATGCTTCTTGTTTTTTCCTGGCGCATTCTCCCTTGATACCATAACCAAGGATAAAGATTGGCTTCGACATAACATCTTTCACACCAGATGTACTCGGGGGGAAAGTTTGCAACATCATCATTGACAATGGAAGTTGTGAGAATATTGTATCTAGTTATATGGTTGAGAAGTTAAGACTGCTAGTCAAAGATCTTGCCAATCCATACAAGTTACAATGGCTACGAAAGGGAAACGAAGTAAAAGTAACCAAACGTTGCCTTGTCTCCTTTTCTATTGGTAACAAGTACCAAGACAAAGTATGGTGTGATGTTATTCCTATGGATGCTTGTCACTTGTTACTTGGTCGCCCTTGGCAATTTGACCAAAAAACTATCCATGACGGCCATGCCAACACCTACTCGTTTGTGAAAGATGGTGTGAAGGTCAAGCTTATTCCCCTGAAGCCTGAAGAGACACTTGAAAATAAGGATAAGGACAAGGCTTTAATCTCCAGATCAACCTTTCAGAAGTTGCATCAAGAATCAAGGACAACTTGTTTCTTATTATTATCTAAAGTGAATGATGCCACTTCCTCTTTTCCAAAAGATATTCGATCTCTCATTGAAGAATTTTCTAATGTTGCTCCTGATGAGACTCCTCATGGATTACCGCGAACTCAACGAAGCAAGGATTCTAACATGGTTGTGCCTACAAGACCAGACTTCCAAGCGACTATGGAGTCTCTGCTACTTTTAATGTTGCTGACTTATCTCCTTACTATGAGAATCATGTGCATTGAACTCAAACTCGAGGACGAGTTTTCTCCAACCAAGGGAGAATGCACCAGGAAAAAATAAGAAGCATGCAAAAGCTACTCTGCAGCACCACTAGGTCGATGCAACTTTGTCAACATAGCCACAAGTCAACAAAAATAACCACTAAATTCCACAAAGATAGCTAACTCCCAACTGCATTTTCACTTTTTATTTATTGCCTTCGTTAGATTTTGCCTATAAATAGCGTTCTCACCATTGTACATGAGTTTCAATCCAAAAATTTCAGTTTATATTTCTCCTCTGTTGAGTTTCTTGAGAGTAAATTTTCTCGATTTATCTTTGTATCTTAAGTCTTGCCAACCTAAATGGTGAACTTGACAATCGAATTCATCGTAGTGGGATTTTAAATCTCGCCAAAATCGGTGTTTCGGTATCGGCTCCTACGCCAGAAGAGAAGAAAATATCAAGATTATTCAACAGTAGTGAAGATGATAAAGTCATGTATCACGTAAATTTTGAGAGGCATAATGATATTTAAATTTGGTTCTTTATAATCAAACAAGTTTCCGTTGACAAAAGCCTCCTGGCACCTCCATTAAAGATGCACATGTTAGCGACATGCTATAAGCACTCATTTTTTACATCAACACTTTACGAACAATCCATTAAAGAAAAAGCTGAAGTCCAGAATTATGACCAGTTTGGCTTTGGGCCCAAGTGGAAGGTTCACCTGAACTGGTGAAATACATGGTTTGGTGATGACCTCAAAAAGCCATTTTCCTACCACTCCTAAATAAATTAATGGCTTAATCATATTTCAGAAAAAATCAAATCCCATCTACAGTCTTCTTCACATGAAGCACCTTCAGTTAATAATGACAAGGAAGACCCCCAAAAAATTTTTAGAACATAAACAATAAAGCTTAGAGATTTGGCTAAATGAAAGTCCACACAGATAACATTTCAACCAGTATCAGTACAAGCAACAACCATAGAAAACCCTGTGTTGGGTTAATTTGGGAGCTGTGAGACATGGCAAAAATTATA